TGCCTCAGTTGGTCTGAAGGGCCATCCTAGTTCCTCTGGGCTGGCCAAGGCCTCTATTGTGACCATAACACAGACCCTCCTGCTCAGTTCTGCTCCCCTGGGCCCCACAGGGTAGTTCCCAGGTCCATTGGCCAATGAACCTCTGCACACAATCTCATCTCAGAGTCTGCTTCCCAGGAAACCTGATCTGTGAAACTCTCCCCAAGTCCCTAGCAGCAGCAAGGGAAGGGAGAATTCTGGAATGTGAAAGGGAGAAAATGCAATGACAACTGTCATCAGTGATGTAGATTCAACATTTAGACCCTATAGCAACTTCCCCTCCTCTTTCCTAGTGAGTCTGGGGAGAATATAATTACAGGTGGAATTAAAATAAAGAGTATCCCAGTGAGGTATTTGATCCATATTTCTTTTTCTAGAATGTCATCATAATCTGAAAAGACCATATGTGCCCTATCCTACTCTTTAATTCATCGTGGGCAAATTCCCACATTTTGAGAAAAGCTGACTATGAGCTTGTGGGAAGGCATGAGGTCTGGTTTATGAGTAGGTGGTTAGTAAACCATTTAATATGTATGCTTTGAATTAAATGGTATAATTTGCTTGCATTATGTCTAAAATTCCACCAGAGTTCTGATATTTGAGTTTTGAAGAGTTAATAGTATCTTATTAGTATGCAAAAAGGAGATTAATAAGCTTAATAATGATCAACTATTAGTTGTCAGCTAGCTTAGAGCAAGGCAAGTTCTTAGAGGGGAGTGGGGCATGTGGGTGTGTGGGACTCTAAGATGAGTTGGGAGGGAACACAGCCCAGCTATATTTGCTTTCTAATTGCCTCGCTGAGTCCCATGGTGGTCTGAGTGAACAGTGTTTGCCATATGGGTACCCAAACCCCTGGTGGAACGAAATCGGATTCTAAATGGTGTACAGTTAGAAAAATATTTACTATTTTCATTATTATAAATTTACTAGAGGCCTGATGCACAAAATTTGTGCAAGGGGCTCAGCCCTCACAGCCCCAGCTTCCTCTGGAAGGTTGTCTGGATGGTCTTTCTGCTGTTTGGTCTAATTAGCATATTAGCTCTTTATGATATAGGATTGTTACAGTTAACCTTTATTTTTGGCAAGTGTTTCTGGTCTTCTGTTTATGGTTAGTGATATAAAGTTTTCTTTTAGAGTAACTTTAAATTAAACAGGAACCTATTTAAATAAAATATTTACTATTACAAGTGAGCTATAAATATTGTTAGAAAAATCATCCCAATGATGGTACGTGACTCATAAAAGTTTAGGTGTAAAATGGCTTGGTTCAAGGTGATAAAGAGAATTAGAGGAAAGAAATTATTATTGCAGGAACTTCGCAAATGTTAAATAAATACCAAATGACACCATGTAGAAGTCATGTCAAATTGTTTAAAACTGCTTAAACTTTTGTTGCTGCTTTTGATACATTCCTAATTAAACCAATTCCCCCCTCCTCCCATTACACATTGTGCAAAATTGTTTTAGGTCTTTTAGTTTCTAGCACGTTTGCATGGTCTATGAGATTTGGTTATTTATCACACCCATGTTATCACTGCCCATTAATTACACACCCATCACGTATCAGGTATCATTAAAGCCCATTAGTTAAACATAAGAGCTTAAGAGAATTAAATTTAATCCTGAAAGAGGATTTAAAGGGAATATGGGAAAAAATCTCCCTGTCTGGAATATTTCCAGACTAAATATAGAAATTTGAGACAACTAGTGGTTTTGAAATGTTTTCAGCCACAGAACATCCTGTCCAAATAAATCTTACCAGAAATGAGGAGAAATCTACAGAACTGCCCGGTGGGTGGGGGTTCTGGGGAAGTGAGAGCCCTGATGTGATGCTTGGACGAACTGTCCCCTCCCTTCTTGCTGTGTGTTCCCACCCCACCCACCCTACGGTACCCCCGAGGCTCATAAGATGAGGCACTCTGTTTGAAAACTTCTAACCTGGAACAATTTCTTTCTCACTCTGTCTACACCTGTCACTTGGTGTCTGTGGCATAGTCAACGGGCTTTATTTTATTATGAGGCAGTGATTATATATTTCCCCTGAGAATACTACAGACATGTCTTGTCCGAAAGCCAAAAATTTTTAAAAAAAACCTGGATTTAGGGAAGAAACAAACAAGGCCATAAGCTCCATGCAGGGCCTCAAGCTCGGGCTCGTGTATTGCTGCTTCCCCCCAGTATCTAGCAGGACTCCAGCCACACGTTGTCGGAACAAATGAAAGCGTGAATAGCAGAGGCAAGCTAGGCTCTGCTGCATTTTGAGAAATGGAACGAATGGGTCAAGGTGTATGCCCATTTTCAAAACTTCCAGTGAATGAGTTATAAAGAGTAGCTGGGGACAGTGGGGCAATCTACTTGTAGTGAGCCCTGGAGATAATGGTGCCTGGGAAAAGGTAGCGATTGTGAAATAGAAAGAAAATGGGAATTTAAGATACCCAGAAAAGGAACAATACTGGTGGGGTTTGGGAACCTGAAAAACTTGGGACAAAAGTGATTTTTGTTTCCATCATAAAGACACTGTGTAAAGCATGGGAAATGTCTCAATAAATTCTTCATAGAGCTAGACCAGTGGTCGGCAAACTGTGGCTCGCGAGCCACATGTGGCTCTTTGGCCCCTTGAGTTTGGCTCTTCCACAAAATACTGACTTCTGCACTTGGGCCACAAAGTTTCAATCTCACTGTACGTGTGCGCCCGCACATGGTATTTTGTGGAAGAGCCACACTCAAGGGGCCCAAGAGCTGCACGTGGCTCACGAGCCGCAGTTTGCCGACCACTGAGCTAGACAGAAGTTCAGCTCACGGTGTACGTGTGGAGTTGCCGTAAGAGACATAATTCAGCAGCCTGTGTGGCTGCTGTGGGTGTACAGTGCGGGTCGGGGGGATTGAAGTACAAATTCCCACACACTCAACAGTTGCTCTGCCGGGTTCCCAAATCAGAGCCAGTGACTGTCTCAGTCACGTGGGTTGAGAAGAAGAACAGGAAACTGAGACTTCTCATGTCATATCTGTATAAGGTCTCCCCACACCCCACTGCTGCTCCTGCCTTCTCCCCTCCAAGCCACCTCTTCCCCATGATTCCCCAAACAGCCCAGCCCTTAGGAAGCGTACCCAGTACCTGGACACTCCTAATCCTCATAGCCGTTATATTGACACCTATACTGCCCACGGGCCTCCCTGGTATGAGCATGGGTTGTCTCCTGACTGCATGAGAAGTTAGTGGAGGGCAGGGTCTTATATTTCCTTTCACATCCACAGCACCTTTTCCCAGAGCTCCCAGGACAGGCACCGAGGCTGTGCTGGTTGGTTGAATAGTGACAAACTGAACGCCTTCTGGGAATGCTCTGTTTCCAGGTCACTCCTGGCCCACACCATGGCTTGGATTATCCAAGCCATGAAGATCCACAAGCCGGGTCATGAGCTATGTTTCCCAGAAGACTGGAGGGGAACTTGATTTATTGGTCTTGGAGCCCCAAGGCAGGAGGAGCAGCGCCTTCTTGTAGAACAATCCCACCCATTGACATGCTGAAGCAGCTTGTTCCCCAAGGTGATAACATTTGAAAGCTCTGCTGGCATAATCCCGGGTGGATATTTTCCGCTAGTCTGCCCTGAAGGGACACACTCACACATACAGTGACATGTTGCATGTGCAAAACGTGAGGAGTGGGCTTCAAGGCCGCTGTGTGTGCCACCCTGGATGGAAAAGGGCTGCAAAGGAAATGATAGAGTGTGTTCAATGGCCTTCTCCTTCATCTGAGAAACATCATTTGAAATTTTACTTTCAGGGGCCGCCCCTTCCAACAGATTCTCCTGAAAAATGGATACAAATGGGGAGAGGGGAGAAGGGACTAGAACCTCAAAGGGCAGAACCTACAGGAATTAGGTTGCTCAACTGGAAACAGGGATGTGACAGCCTCATCTGGGCCCCTAGAACCAGCTCCAGCTGGTTTCCTGTCAGTCACAGGTGGGAAAACCACCACCCCAGTGCTGCTCTCAGTTCCTGTCTGTTTTGGGACATCTGTTCCTGTTCCCCAACAGGATAGGAATGTCCCCTCTCAACACAAGAGAGCTTGTCACGCGGGGAGCTCTGGGACACATGCGTGTTGGGGGCTTCCTGGCAGCTCCTGGCATTTCATATTGGTTTCAAGGTGGCCTACTCTGTGCCTCCCACAGGCCTTGGAACAACAGAGATCTGGAACAATCCGTTCTCAAAATAACAATGTCTGGGGCTGACGGGAGCCTGGGAGTCCTTCCTTGGTAGGAATTTGCCTCTTGAACAGGCAGCTGCAGGAGGGGCGGAGGTCCCGAGGCAGGGTTTTGCTTGAGCACATCACAGCATTCGGTGTAGGTTGGGGACACTTAGAGATCGCCAAACCCAAGGCAGGAGCAGCAGGAAGAAAATACCTTTCTCAGCCAGGTTACTCCAACTCGCTACCGATGGGCGTTGTAGATTTCTTCAGGAGGAGCGGTGTCCCCTGTCCCTGCACCATCTTCCCAACCCACCTGCTATTTTGGGTTCCAGGTCTCATCCCACTGCTGGCGTGTGTCTCTCCTCCACTCCAGCCCGTTTTCCTAGGACATAGTCTTCAACAAAGGGAGTGGCCAGCCAAGGAAGTGGGGAAGCCAAGGTCCCCGGCTCCCACTTTGGCTAATTAGCTCTATCTCTTGGAGCACAAAGCACAAACCTAAGAACAAGAACCCTGGGGCTGGACTACCCTTGAGACGTAATGACTAGAACTCAGAGCCAGAGCTCTATCAAGGTCTTCCGTCGCCTCGCCTGCCAGCTGGATGTCTCTCCGTTCAAGGTGGCCGCTGAAGCGAGACCGGCACTGCTTTTTCCACCTGTCACATGGGAAGCTGGTGGCCCGCTCACCTGCTCCACTCGACTGCCTCTCCCCTGCCTCTCTGCTCAAACCGTGTCTTGACTTGGCAGGGCGACAAGACAGAATAAAAACATACACTTCTCCCCAGATTCCTGTCTCCTCTCTTTTTCACGGGAGATCAAGTGATTTCTTCCCCTGCCTTGTATGGCTAGGATTCTTACTGCCATGTCCCAGTCCCCTGTACACCAGCTATAAGGGAAAAAGAGTTACAGAGGAACTACGCTGCCACAACTGCTTCCACAATAAACTCTTACCCCCATTTTACAGATCAGGAGAGTTATCGTTATAACAGTATCTGTTAGAAGCCAAGCAACGTGCTACTTTGGACTCTGAATCCAGTGCTCTTTGCACTTCACCATAGATAGCTCAGGAGGATGCCCCTTAATCAGGAGGGAGCTTGAGTCATTCAACAAATATTTTTTTTTTGGGGGGGCATCTCCAATGTCCTGACACATTCTAAATGCATATGGCAAAACAACAACAACAACAAAACTAGACAAACACCCCACTCCCAAAATCCATCCCATCATGTTAGCTTACATTCTAATTTGGGGAGACGGACAATCACAAGAGTAAAGAAGTAAGTGGCATGTGCTGTGGAGAAGAATAAAGCAGAGAAGGTGAAGGGGCACTTAACAGATGTTAGGTAAGTAAGTTATTTCCATGAAATTCATGACACACTCACAGAGGCAACACATTTTGGTTCAGGCAAATATTTTTTCAGCAACTTCCTCCCTTGAAGTATTTCAGGAGCTGATGAAGCCCTCCTATTTCTTCTTTTTAAATTAACTGATAAATATTTGATTAGAACTTTCGATAACTTACATCTTCCCAGCATCCCCTCTGCCGGGCTCCTCCAAGGCTCTGATAGAGGGAGGCTCTCTCATCTGGTTCCTCTCACTCACCCCGACTGCCCCAGGCCCCTCTGCCCTGGGTCCCCTTCCGGCTGAGTGACACTGACACATGATGGCGTCAGGGGAGCTGGCACACTGACTCAGTACCGGGGGCCCAGGTGAGGCTGCTCCCAGTCCTGCGCTGAGTTTGGCTGGGTTTGTTTGGTCCTGGGGGATTATGGCCTTGCTTCTAGGTTCACTGGGCAGAAACAGCAAGAGTCTCCTGAACGTTCCAAGGAGGTGGGGCCTGGCCCCACGCATGCCCTCTGGAGATGTGTGACAATGGGGAGCTCAGGAAGGGGCCTGGGAGAGCCCTCTGTGCACCGGAGTGAGGAGGAAATGGCACTGGATGACCAGTCCAGTGGCCCTGCTGGCGATGCCGGCAGGGCTGGTGTTATTGTGTCTGTGCCCGAGGGAGGGGGGCCAAGGTGAAGGATGCCAGGTTCTAGGTTCCTGGGGTACACCAGTGAGCTGGTACCTTGGCAGAGCTGCTAGCACAACTGAATTTGAAAAGCCTGGTGTGGTTTTCAGAGGTGATGAATCAGCCTCCGGGTATAGGCCAGGCTCACATTCCAATGACCAGGGTGCCTCAGAGAGGAAGCAGGGCCAGCCCTGAGGTGGACCCAGACAGGTTGGACTTGTTGCCAAGTAGCTGCCCATGACTCAGAGAGGCTCCCCATGCATGCAGGAGATGGGGGCTATTTTCCCAGATAAGCGGTCACAGCAGAGTTTTTGAGGACCAGCCAAAGTCTGGAATTCAGCTGGGGCTCCCCCGGATGGAGGTCTGGGCCCAGAATGGAAGTCTGGGTCCGGGGATGGAAGTCTGGGTCCTGGGATGGAGATCTGGACCCTGGGATGGTGGTCTCGGCCCTGGGTGGAAGTCTGGGTGCTCAATGTAGGTCTGGGTCCTCAATGTAGGTCTGGGTACTGTAAGAAAGTCTGACTCTGGGATGGAGGACTGACCAGATGGAAGTCCAGGCCTGGGATGGAGGGCTGTGCCCTGGAGGGTGGGCTATGTTGGGTATGGACTTCTGGGTCATGGAATGGAGGTCTGGACCATGGATAGAGGTCTGGGGTCCCGATACAGGACTGGATTATTGGTTTGAGGTCTGGGCCCCGGAATGGACATCTGGGCCCTGGATTGAAGGTCTGGGACCCGGATGTAGGTCTGAGCCCCAGATGGGATGTCTGGCTCCTGGGTTGGAGGTCTGGACCCTGGATGGAGGACTGGGCCCTGGAGTCAGGTCTGGGTCCTGGGATGGAGGTTGGGCCTCCGGTAAAGGATTGGATTCTGGGTTCAAGGTCTGAGCCCCGGGCTAGACTTTTGGGACTTGGCATGAATGTCTGGGACTCAGATGTAGGTCTGAGCCCTGGATGGAGCTCTGGGCCTCGGAGGAATGTCTGGGTCCTGGGATGGAGTTTCTGGCCCTAATAGGAGTAGTGGGCCCTTGAGGGATGCCTGGGTCATGGGATGGAGGTCTGAGCACCCCATTTTGTACTGGATTCTGGGTTCGCGAAGGTCTGGGACCCAGATGTAAGTCTGAGCCCTGGATGGAGATCTGGGCCCTGGAGGGAAGTCAGAGCTCAGGATGGAGGGCTGTGCCCTGGAAGGGGGAGGGGTCTAGTTCTTGGGATGGACCTCTGGGTCAGGGAATGGATGTCTGGACCATGGATGGAGGTCTGGCCCTGAATATAGGTGTGGATTCAGGGTCCGAAGTCTGGCCCTGGATGGACTTCTGGGCCCTGGCCTGCAGGTGTATTACCCGGATGTAGGTCTGAGCCCCAGATGGAGTTCTGGGCCCTGTAGGGAGGTCTGGGCTCTGGAGGGAGGGTTGTGTCATGGAGGGAGGTCTCATTAGTGGGATGGACCTCTGGGTCATGGCATGGAGCTCTGGGCCCCTGATGTGGGTCTGGGCCTGTGATGCAGGACTGGATACTGGATCGAGGTCAGGGTCCCGGGATGGAGTTCTGGGCCCTGACATGATGTTCTGGGGCCCGGATATAGGTTTGAACCTCAGATCAGGTAGGGCCCCGGAGTGAGGCTTGGGCCCCAGATGGAGATCTTGGTTTTTGGATGGACTTCTGGTCATGGATTGGAATTCTGGACCATGTTGGACGTCTGGTACCCCATACAGGACTAGATTCTAGGTTCGAGATTTTGGCCCCAGGATGGAGTTTGGGCCCTGCTTGAAGGACTGGGACAGGGATGTAGGTATGAGCCCAGGATGGAGAAATGGGCCCCTGATCCAGGACTGGTTTCTGGGTTTGAGGTTTGGGCCTCGGGTAGGAATTCTTGGTCCTGGCATGAATGTCTGGGACCTGAATATAGGTCTGAGCCCCAGATTGTGGTCTGGGGTTTGGGATGGTTGTGTGGGCCCGGAGAGATGTCTGGGATGGAGATCTGGACCCCCACTGGAGGGTTGGAGTGTGGGATGGACATCTGGGCTGGTATCAAGGTCTGGGCACCCAATAGAGGACTGGATTCTGGGTTTGAGGTCATGCCTGGGATGGAGTTCTGGGCCATGGCATGAAGGTCTGGACCCAGCAATAGTTCTGATCTCCTGGTGGATGTTTGGGCTGGAGGGAGGTTTTGGTCCCGGGATGGAGGTCTGGGGTCCTAATGGAGGTCTGTGCCCCGGAAGGCGTTCTTGGCCCAGATGAAGGTCAGGGCCCTGTGATTGAGGTTTGGGCCCCGGATGGTGGTCTCGTCCCAGGATGGATATTAGGGCCTGTCCTTGGATGAAGGTTAGGGCCCTGTATGGAGGTCTGTGTCCTGGATGGAGGTCAGGGCCTTGGGATGGAGGTCTGGGCCCTGGTGGATGTCTGAGTTTGGGAATAAATCTTTACTTCAGATGGAGGTCTGAGTACTGCCTTGGTCATTTGGGTCCTTCCATGGAAGTCTGGGCCCCGGATGGGGATGTCGGTTCTGGGATGGAGGTCTGGGCCGTGAATGGTGGGCTGAGTCCCACCGTGGAAAAATGGGTCCTGCCATGAAGGTCTAGGCCCCCAATGGAGGTTGGGGCCCCAGATGAAGGTCTGGTCCCTGGATGGATGTCAGAGCCTGGCTCAGGATGAAGGTCACAGCCCTTTATGGAGGTTTGTGCCTTGGATGGAGGTCAGGGCCCTGGGATGGAGTCTGGACCCCTCATGGAGGTCTGAGTTTTGCCTTGGACACCTGGGTCCTGCCATGGAGCCCTGGGCCCCAGATGGGGATGTAGGTTCTGGGATGGAGGTCTGAGTCCTCCTATGGACACCTGAGTCCTGCCATGGAAATATGGGTCCTGCCATGAACGTCAGGGCCCCAGGTGAAGGTCAGAGCTCTGTATGTAGGTCTGTGCCTGGATGGAGATCTGAGTCCCTCCTTGGAAATATGTATGCTGCCATGAAGGTCTACATTCCAGATGGAGTTCTGGGCCTTGGATGGAGCCCTAGGCCCCAGAAGGTGTTCTAGGCCCCGGATGAAGTTCAGTGCACTGGGATGGAGGTTTGGGTCCTGGATAGAGGTCTGGGGTTTGGGGCCTTAGATGGAGGTGTGGGTCCTGGGATGGAGTCTTGTTTCTTCTTGTGTGAGTTGATCGTGTCCCACGCTGCACCCACTGTTTTGAGATTTCTCCCATGAGTGAAAAGGAAACATCTGTTTGGCTCCTGATCCATAGTGAAGGCGCTAAGACGGAACTAACTTTTGTGCATGTCTCCAGCTATATTTAAATTATGCCTCTTATTCCCTTTGTAAAAAGATGTGCCATAAAACCTTATCGATTTAACTCAGCAGTTTGAAATTTATGATGCTTTAGATAGACTTTGGCTTGAGATTGCCTTGAGAGGTGGATGTAAGCAAATTAAGAATAAAAATAAGATTGCTAAACATTACAGTACTGAAGGGACTAAGTTGCCTTTTATTATTTTGAATATGTTGTCTTAAGCACATCAAAAGGACTATGTCATACTTGACTGATATGCTCATTATTATAAACTAGAGGCCCGATGCACAAAAATTCATTCAAGAGTAGGCCTTCCTTCCCCCAGCTGCTTCCCTCCTCTGACTGCCTGCAGGCACCTGGGACCCAGGTTGGCTTCCCTCTGGCCCCAGCTTTGTCAGGAAGGATGCCCATATTACTCTTTTATTGTTATAGATAACTAGAGGCCCAGTGCATGAAAATTCATGCACTGGAGAGGGGGTCCCTCAGC